TGGCAGTCCCCTTCAATGTAACACATTATTTGAAATGTTTCACATATATTAGTGTTTTTATGTATTTCATTCATATATGCATATAATATACATAAAATCTCTAAAAGATATGGCCTGCCTGTTGACATGCAGTAGTCTGAACGTGAGTATTCTCTCTAATGTTTGATAAAAAGTAAGATCAAGTACATTCATCATCTCCCTTATGTTGACTTTTTTCTGCTGTTCTTAGAACTCAGCAGCCACTTTAGCCCTTAATTCTACAAGTGGTGCTAAGCATGATCATAAGAATCTATAGATATTCCAAAGAAAGAGGAGTGGGCAAGGAATGTAGACAGATTAAGTAAATAGAGAAAAATAGAAGGAACCAAGGGAAGAAGGACAGACTGACTGGTGGAGAAGGGATATAAAGGGCCACAGACTTTGGTTCAGTGTCATGAATTCCCAGGCCATGCTTCAGACTATCCCAGTTTTCACTATGATTCTAGAAGTCATTAACAAAAAGTACAAAGCAACAATTACTTTGTAGTCATATAGAGCACTGTTTTTCTTGTATTTATATAAATCAAGTACATGTAGCACTTCACTGCATTCCTTCCCTAAATAAGGAATCTCAACAGATACGAAATGGACGTGAAGAGAATAGAGTGAACCCAACTACAGTGTATTTTCTACACCATACTCAAGAATTCTTCCTGTTAATATTATTGTTCCCTCTTACATCAGTAATAAGACATCAGGGAATGAAATGCAGTATCTCACTCCAAGTTTTCATTGGTAAAATATTCAGTCCCACTCTTGAGGGGGGAGGGGTTGATCAAAGTCTAAGTCAGATATTTCTTGATGATGATTAGAATTCTTTCAGTCTACTGAATATAGTGACAAAGAAACAAACAAAGTTTTCTATCCTTTGAACACATTTAACAACTTGTAACTCAAAATTTAGGTTCTCAGAATTTTACAATAGACACCAGAGTCTTCGGAGCTACCTTACTCCAGTCAGGTTTAACTCTGATGAAAATAAGTTAGTTGCTCTTATTTGGAGTAGGTAAGAGGCTACATGACATTCTTATCTTTAGTTATGCTACTGAACAACCTCTAGGCCAGACTTCATAAGAAATATCCTTGTTGGCCTTTGATGGTAATGTATCTCTGCTGTTTTTGTTGCAGTGACTTCCTATCTAAAAGTCTGAAGCTTTCAGCTCTGTACTTTGGTTCCAGAAAGTGAAAGACCTCCTATACGTATAGCTTTGAGACCTTGTTTGGGTTTTGGTTTTTTAAAGTAAAAACAATGGAGCATAGTTAGTTCTTCTCAAAGAACATTTTATATTATTCTTTCATTATAAAGAAAGAAAATTATATGATGTTTCTTGAGTGCCATTAACAATGCTTGTGGCTGCTTGCCTCATGGATGGGCCTGCAGGAGAGGCACTGACTTGATCTGATTGGTACACATCACATATCTCCCATCCTAGTTCTCGTGTTAACTTTAGAACTGTGCTTCAGGAAGGACAGCCATGAAGATGCAGATTGGCTCAGGGGAAGCGTCATAGATGATGTGTCTTCACTCCAAAGCTTGGCCTTAGTCATTGATGTTTCAGCAACATAAAGAAAAACCAGGCCGTGATCACAAGGTCGGTGTTGGTAGAAACATATCTGGAAAAACTGAAAGGTTGGGAATGAGGAATAGGACAAGAATTTCAGAAGAGGATACAGGTGCTTGTAATTAAATGCAACTTTATCAGCCCAACATTAAGAAATAATTTGGCAATTTTGTGGGATTTCTGTTCCCATATACCCTCTTCCCTAAGACATAACATTCCAACACCTTTGTATGTTTACTGATTCAGCTAAAGAATAAGCTAAGTTGGACTGAGGCTACCAGTTTACCTGTCCTGAGGATATCCATACTTGCACAAGGATAGATTTGTGTCCACATTTCCTCATCGTTACTGCTTTTTTCTTTTCTGTGATCCCTTCCAGCTTTGCCTATATATAACCCATCCCCTTCTTCTTATTTAATCTTTTTTAACAAAGTAGTTAAAATCTTTTCTGTAGTATTAACCACACTGAGTATTCTCAGAAACTGGCAGATTTGAGCCCATTTATGCACTTGACATAAAAGTATTAAAAAGAACAATATAGGATGTGTATAGGGCTCATTAAGGTAACATAATAAAGCAATTGCTTGAATTGCTTCCAGTCCAAACTGGCAGTACAAGCCATCCTTTTTCAGTTTTTCTCCTTTTTCAGTATTCTAATCTGTGTTAGACAATGTATTTGGGAGTAAGGGAGTGTATCTTTTCATCTTTGTCCCCGGTTGCCTAATGTAGTTGTGTCACTTAGGTGTACAGTAAGTTTTATTGAATGCATAAATGAATTATTGGAATAGTCAAAACATGAATAGACCTGCACTTGAAGTGTTGGAGAAACTTGAGTGATAGAGACAAAGAGAAGAAACCCTGCCCTATCTCTGTTTACTGTAATTGATTACTCTCAGTCCACCCGTGGTCTTTTCAGTATTATTTTGGGACACTTTTCATTTGGAAGTGAAAAAGCACAAGCAGGAAAGAGAAAAAAGTTCCTGAATAGAGTATAATATGATAGGAACTTATGATTCTAAAAATTGAAAATTAAATTCCACAGGGTTTACTAACTTTATTAACCTTTCCTATAGCTGCTGACAGGTAGGTGAAAAAAAATTAGTGTTATCAACCTGAATGACATGGCACCACCTTCTAGTTGCAGGCTTCTTTTAAGAGTGACACAATACTTAATAGAGAATCTACCTAGAGCCTGCTTTGTGTTAGATCAAATCCCCCTGTCTTTTCATGACTGCTCTTGTCTGAGTCTCTCTAGCATTTGTAAGTGGGAAAGTTAGAGATTAAGTGCAAAATTTAATTTGCCTATTGTTGATCATTCTGAATGAATAAAAAATGTGTTGGGAATTTTAACTCATTTAAACACCCATTCTATTTTCATTTTGTGTATTCTTTTACTCAACGTGTTTGGGATTGAGAAATGTAAATATATATATATATTTTAATAAGATGATTGAGTGTATGCAATTACAAAGGACCATCCTAGGCTCCAGATGACATAAAAATAAATGCCATTTGGTCCTCGTTTTCAAATAGAGTTTTGACAAGTGAGTACTCTGAGGGATGGTATCATGAAATCATACTAGACAGAACCATGGCAGAGCAATTAATTGAGGAAGTCTGCTCTCCCATTAAATTCCGTATCTTTCCCTTAAGAAAGACTACAAATATATTATATATATGATCTCTGGGCCACCCAGTTCCTACTCCATTATTCTCATTCTCAGTAATCACTTTCTGTCCATCTGGAAAAAAGGGCACTCAGGACATCTCAGTCCCCATGTAGCTCTCTGCCAAGGAGAGCTTTGGGTTTCTAGACGTCCTTAATTATTCTTCTTTCATAGTGGAAAGTAACTGGACTGGGACCAAATGGTTCCAAATTGTGGTGTTTGGAGGGCATCATTAAGAGCTACCCCCAAACTGGCCAAACTTTGATGGACGGGACGGTTGTGGTCTTACTCATCATAGAGTTTGCACTCCAGTGTGGAATTTTGCCTGTAAAAGATTACTCGGTTTTCTTTTGAACTTTTTCTAAGAAGCAGCTTAATAGATGAAAGGGCTCATAGTTATTGTGGTATTTCACTTGAAAATATTTTTGAAAATGAGACCTTGCAAGGAACACGGATGTTTCTGTCTAAACTCCTCTAAGTGATCACTTTATGCTAGTTTCCAGTTTTCTCTTATTTGAGATAATTTTGCTCTTGGTTCAGATCCCTTTTATTTTTTCACCTTTTCAGTATATTGAAAGTCTACGTATCCAGAGAAGTAAGTATAGACTCAGGATTTTAGTATGAGAATTTTAAAAGTTTTCCCATAATTCTGTCTTGCTAAGTTAAATTAGTATATATACCTTCCTTGCTTGTTCTGTTTATATTTTTACCTTTGGGTGTCTCTGTGTAAAAGGGAACGGACTGAAAAGAAGAGTAATGCTGCTGTGGGAATATTTTTACTTCTTTTTGATTAGATCTGCAACACCTGTGGGTCAGTTTGTCATTATAGTGCTCATATTTAATGTCTCAGAAAGATAGTAAGTTATTGTCTCCTATTTGCCAGGTGTTGAGCTAAAACGTTTTGTATGCATTTTCTCACTTACCCATCATAACTACCTTTGGAAATACAAATTATCATCCTTGGTTGACAAATGAGGAAACAATGGCTTAGCGAGGTTAGATTCTAAATTAGCAGGAAGATGTAGAACTAGCAGTTAGATTTGTCTCACTGAAATTCCTATGCCCTTAATCTCTATGTAATACCATCTCCCAGGGCATTCTAAGAAGAAAACTTGCCCAGTAAAGGCTACAAAACACTTGCTTTATTTTCTCATTTTCTTTTCTCTCCACTTTTTTCTCATTTTCGTACTCATGATGGAAATAGTTATAGAAGAAGCTTTGTATAAATCTGCTTCAGGGCAAGTGGATGTCCCTGTACCTGTGTTATTGTCCTTTGTAATCCCACAGTAAGAAATGGTTCTTCATGGGGTGGATCTTTCACTATTTGTTTACATTAGCGTTTTGATTCATTGTATTCTTAACATTTTTAATGCCATAATATCTGAAGTGAACGGTATTTTAAATATAAATTCTGTTCATCTAACACAATTTGCTTAACTGCAAAATCTAACCACTTAACTAAAAAGTCATCTTCAGGGTCATATCACTGTATGACTTTCTAAATGTGTATTGTATCTGATTCTCTGTGGGTGTAAATCCCATGCCTTCTCAGTTTGAGGCTACTGGAAATTTCCAGCAAATACAAGATAAAGAAAAGTATACACATAAACACTTGACAGTTTTTTTTGACACACATGTAGTTTTGATAATAAAAGTATTGTATATTGGTTTCCTTTCTATTGATAGGTAGATTTTATTTGGTAGTGATGTGTTTTCTTCTTTGTCTCCAAAGGGCAGTCATTCTACAAAAGTAGAAGCTGTGGTCAGAACTCTGAAGACAATCCAGCTTAGAGATCCAGGGGCTAAAGCCCTCGTCTTCTCGATGGTAGTCAACATTTTCAACCTCAGTATTAACTAAGACTGGCGTTTTGTCTCCAATCAGTTTATATCTGAGAACTAATTTTTATATTAACCATAACATAGTTGAGATTTAGAATTACTGCTAGGTTTTTCCATGTTAGTTTTTTTTCTATATTCATAGGAGGAAATTCTTTTTAGAGAAATTTAATGATGCTTCACAAGGCAATTCCTATAGCTACATTTGGTGTTTTTATATTTAGGGATTATCTCATATTTTAAAAATTATAATCTGTAACTTTGAAAGTCATTTCATAAACAAAATTGGTTTAAGAAAAAGAAAATTAAAGTACTTAACAATAAAAATACTGAGTAAAAATTCTAGTTTTCATTTTTGAGAGATGAGTAACCATATCCATTAAGTACTCCATTATTTTCTATTATTTATGTTTATCTTAGTTCATTTCTCAGACATTTGTGTTTTCTACCCTATCCTTAACCAGCATTTGATTTTTTTAAAAATCTAACATTTCAAGAATTAAATAACATTGATAGTACTTCATTTGAAGGTTTTGTTTTTGTGTTTACTTAATTCTGAGTTACAAAAGTTATTTTGATTTCATCCTTTTTCAAATCCTCTTTATATGAAAGCCATGTATAAATGTCTTGTTTTCTTATTTTTTTATATATTTTAGTGGCAAGATGTATTAGATGTTATTTCAAAAGCTCTCACTGACAACAACATGAAATTTGCACAGATAAGTAGTGTTAATAAGACATTTCAGGTAGGTCAAGATTTTACTTGTGCTTTTTGGAGTGGATTCAGTTGCAAATTGAAACTATTGTTAACCTAGTTTACTTCCATTTATTGTCTTGTGTCAGCATTTGAGTTCTTGTTTAATTATAAGATTAACTTCAAAAGCAAAGTAGAGAAAGTATAATTATTTTCTGCCCAATTTTACCCATAGCAAGACCATCTTCTATTTAAAGATTGACTTTGAGGTCCTTTTCTTTAATATTGGGAAAGATGTCCTATGCTATACCTTTTGAATGGACAGGGGCCTCATGCCCTGGGATTAAGGGCACTGACTACATCAGGCAAAATTGCAAATGGTCAAATTCCTTACATTACATGCAGCACAGAGACCCTGACAGAAACACGTAAAAAGACCAGGTGAAATTTGAGCAGATCCATGTCTTACCTGATACTAACTCTAATGCATTATTTTTCTTTTTCCTCTGAGCTCATTAGTTTGCATACATCATATACATATATCTTAGGATTCCACTATACCGTTACCCCTTGATCAACATGGGTTTGAACTGAGTTGGACCACTTACATGCAGATTTTTTTCAATACATATGTTGGAAAATATTTTGGACATTTACAACAACTTGAAAAAACTTTTTCTTCTCCTTAACTTACTTTATTATAAGAATACAGTATATAATACATATAACATACAAACTATGTATTAATTGACTGTGTTATTAGTAAGGCTTCTGGTCAATAGTAGGCTATTAATAATTTAAGTTTTGGGCAAGTCAGAAGGTACACATGGCTTTTTGACTGTGCAGGATCAGTACCCCTAACCCCCAACCTCATTGTTCAAGGGTCAGCTACATATTATAAAGAACAAGAGAACTTAGGTGACACTTACTCATAAAGTCAGTCAACAAGTTTACATTTTCTAAAATTTGTAATTTTACATATAATTTTCTTAGTTATTACATTTCACAATGACCTAGATACCATTAGTCATCTTTAACATAAGCTGCAATGAACTGCTCTTATTTTTAGCTAATCCAGCTAACATGTAAGTGCACCTTTCTGTTTCAGGAGAACCTGTCAGCATTTAAATATGATCCCCAGGTCAACATTTTGCTGCTGCCGCTGCGCACAGGTTCCAATGGAATAACTATCATTGAAGCAACTCATGTGCTCTTGGTGGAGCCCATCCTGAACCCTGCCCATGAGCTTCAGGCCATAGGACGGGTGCACCGAATTGGACAGACAAAGTAAGGACTGAAATTAACATGTTTGCTTCAAGTGTCTTAATGTACAAATCAGCACTTAAAGTCTTCATTTATGTTCATCATAGTCTGTTCATTTTTAGTTACTTCCACATTTATTAAATTTTCAGGTATTAGTAGATAACAAAAAGATATTTTGAGATTTCCAACCTTCCCTCCTCCAAGCATCAAGCCCCCAAATTCTCCCAGATATTTTTCTACTCTCCTTCAAAAAATACCTTGATCACTTCACCAGAAAAATGTCTTAAAATACTTAAGACAACTACAGAGTTGACGGTATCCCTCATGTCTTTGAGAAGAATCGACTTTTGATTTTCTGAAGTAGCCTGTGTCTGTCTAAAAGAAGGCACATCATGCATAACTAAAAACAAATTGCTGCTTCTTAAATTCTTCCCCTTTGGAAAAGACAGCCCACTAGCTCTGTGCTAAGAAATAAACTTAGTTTAAGGCCCAAAGCAAACCTAATAATGAATACTATATAGTATGTACTACCTTTAATCAAATGTCAGAACAGATCATTATCCTAAATAAAGCCTCTCTGATGTATTACCTCTTGGATGTTAGATGCCTTGAATGTTTAAAAAAAAATGCATCCATAGTACTATGTATTCATTGAACAAATATTGTGCACCCACTATTTGTCAGGCATTATGCTAGATACTGAAGGTTCAAATTAAATAAGATTTAATCTATCCCCCCAAGGAGGTCACTGTAGTATAGGAAATAGAAGATTTAACATATTGCAGAATGATACAAGTGCTGTGATAACCAAAGCAGGGAGTGATTGGCTGTGTCCCAGAGAGTCAGGGGAAGGCTTCATTAAGTTAAGTCTTAAAGGAATAAAGTTGGGTTTTGGCTCAAGCAGCCAGAGAGTTAACACCATGATATTTCAAGGGACTATAAGAAGTTTGGAATTGCTGGAGTATTAAGTATGAGGAGAGGAGTGGCAGGAGATGCCACCTTGTATGCCAAACACAGAAATAGGAACTATAGTGTAAGCAATAGCCAGGAAAGCAGATGATAACTTAAGCAAGACGGTGACATGTTTGTCAAACAAAAATGTGATAAAATAACATCATTGCAGTAAATACAAGCTTGTTCTAAAATACTACCAAGTGTCATTTGAAATGCAGTTATGTCTTACTTGTTTGTTGTGGTACTTTTTTGGTTTGGTCTTACATTGACTTCTTGTCTTACCAATATTTTAAAGCATAGACTGGACTCAGCTCAGATGAAAGGCCACAAGTCTAAAATAAAAAGGCCATTCAACATTACCCAACAATCCTACCACACTTTCCTAGTGAATAACATTTTTCTGCTTTCTGAAGAAACTACCTTAAGTCTTCTGTGTCATCCTGCTCCCCATGGATGATGATCTTGCCTCATGTATGGAAAACAGATATAATCAGATTAGAAGTATGTCATCTTTCCATTACCAACTTGAACAGCCTGCCTGCATCATTACCCTCATACTATTCATTAAATTTTTATTGAGCACCTTGTGTGTGCCAGGCACTGTTCTTCATATTTGAGATGCCCTCATGGAGGAGCTTAGATTTTAGCCATAAGATGGTAGATAATAAACACAAAAGTAAAATATGTATTATGTTAGCAGATGGAAATGTAGCACAGGGTAAGAGAAATTAAGTGTGCAGGCGACTGAGTAGGAAGGCATGGCCAGTCTTATGAGAGGGTAACATGTGAACAAACACCTGAAAGAGATTGGAAAGTGGTACAGACCAGCACACACAATGCAAAGGCTCTAAGTCAGGAGCATACCTGGTATGTTGAGGAATAGCAAGGAACCAGAGTTGCTGAAGGAGAGTGAGCCAAGAGGAGAAAACTAGGAGATGGATTTAGAGAGCTTGGAGCAGGAGGATTATGTAGAGCCAGGAGGCCACTGTGAAGACCTCACTTTCACTGTGTGTGAGATAGGGAACCAATGGAAGGCTTTCAGCAGAGGAGTAACATGATCTAACTTACGTTTTGAAAGAATCATGTTGTGTGCTAAGTTTGGGGCCTGGGGAGAAGGGGAGCAAGGGAAAATAGAAGCCCGGGGGGTAAGGGGGTGCAGAGAACAGCTGTGAGGCTGTGGCTGTAATCCTGGTAAGAGCTGCAGGTATCCTGGGCCACAGCAGCAATGGGAATGGTGAGAAATGCTTCTGGATACATTTTTAAGGTAGAACTGATAGTGTTTGTGGACAGACATGCTCTTAACTCCTGTCCCAGATTCATATGTGCTGCTCTCTCTTCACATGAATCTATGGACTCTACACCTCCCCTCGGACACCTATCTAATAGAAAACTCATGTTTAACATGAGCAAAACAAAACTGTTCCTACTGTGCTCCCACCTGCCCCAAGCCCTCCCCATCTTATAAAATGGCTCTCTCATCAGAAGTTTCCTAGGCCAGAAATCAAGGGCTCTTCCATACTTCTCTTTGCATACCTCACGTGCCAACCATCAGTCAATAAGTCTTGTCAGCTCTACCTCCAAAAAATACTCAAATTTTCTGAGTACTTACTGTTTCTGTTGATACAGCCATAGCACAGTCCACCCTCTTACCTGGACTACTCTAGAACCTCTTAACTGGCTTCTTTGCCTGCATTTGTGCTGCCCAAGAGTCCTTCCTCCACACAGCAGCCGAAGGATTTTTTAATTAAAGTATGAATCATACCATGCATAAAACGTACTGATGGCTTCCCATTATAACCACATCAAGTCCAAATCCCTGCCATGTCCCACAAGACGCTGCATGACTTGGTCCCTGCCCACCTATCCACTCGCATTTTCACCTCTCAACCCTCAGTTCCAAGATGCTCCTACCATGGAGGCCTTTCTGCCCTTCAAATATGTTAAGCTTGTTCCAAGCATGTTCTCTACCCAGGGCTTTGCATTGATTTGCTGTTTCTGTTTGGACGCTCCTCCCACTCCTCCTTTCCTTAGTGGCCTCCTTCCCATCTGTCATCTTTCAATTCATGTCACCCTCCTCCTGGCATTTATGTGTACCTGAAATGATCTGATTTGCTTATGTGTTTATTCTGTCACTCCTCATTAGAATGTTAGTTCATTGAGATTAGTTTGTTTTATTCACTGCTGACCACTTCCCACGCTCCTTGATTAATAATACCTGCCACGGTGGGCACCAACTGACTGAAGAATATAATATGTGAAGCATGTAGTATGTAAAGTCTGCTTATTCTAATTTGTTTTTAAATGTTTCTAAAATTATCGTTGTGTACCTTCTAGGCCAACTGTTGTACACAGATTCCTAATTAAAGCAACAATAGAAGAAAGAATGCAAGCAATGCTGAAAACTACTGAGAGACGGTGGGTGGCAATTTACTGCAATTCGACAGAAGTTTTCCTGTTTGTAAAAGGTTGTGGAAGTGTTTAGAACTTCACTTAGATGACCACTTAGTCAGCCAAAAGTTAGTAAGTGCAAATACTCTGAAAGCAAAATACGGCATTTTACCTATCCAGAATTTCCCAGTTGATGCTCTGGACATTCTGTGTTTGACTTAATTTACTAATAGAATTTGTAATGTATAAAAATATTTAAATGGTACTACATTTCTTCACTATGTTGGATTAATTTTATTTTTATTAAGGTAACATTGATATTCTTATGAAAGTTTCACAAGAAAAACAATGTGATTACCTCATTCACCCATTTTATTGAGTCCCCCTGCCATGCCCCATTGCAGTCACTGTCCTTCAATGTAGTAAGATGCCACAGAGTCACTACTTGTCTTCTCTGTGCTACACTGTCTTCTCATGACCCCCAATACCATGTGAACTAATCATAACACCCCTCAATCCCCTTCTCCCTCCCTCCTCACCCACCCTTCCCCACCCCCCCCCACTAGTAACCACTAATCCCTTCTTGGAGTCTATGAGTCTGCTGCTATTTTATTCCTTCAGTTTTGCTTCATTGTTATACTGTTAGATTACTTTTTAAGTGAAATATTTTAGACCTAAGCTGAAAGCTTAGTCTGATATCTGTAAAGGAAACTTAGTGCTGCCTTATACATCACACTAGTTAGCCACATGCTGATAAGAAGATTTGGACTTAAAACTTGGCTGATAATTGCAGTGTTAATTCCAAAGGCAGAACAGAAGGAGAGAGACCAGAATAGCCTTAATTTTAAACACTTAACTTTGGAATCATGAAACTTCCTGATATTTATTCCCTAACTTGTTTTCTTTAAAGTCATTTTGAAAACGTAAACCAGTGCCTTACTACATTCTTGTGAGATAGATATGATTGGAACATATACACAGAGGAGATGATTGCCTTAGAAGGGACATCTCCACAGAAGTACTTTGCATAGCAAAGAAGCAATCTGAAACCAGAAATTCTCTTCCATTGGTGGTTTATGAGAAAGAAAGAGGCTACCACAAGAGCTTTTTGCCTCGAACATGAAGGCTTTTTGTTGTGGATATTTTCTCCATATGTAACAGAATTCACTGATCATGTTTAAGTTGCTTAAATAACAGCAATTAGAAGACCTGTTCAAATTCTCATGAAACAAATTAGATTTGGGTAGTAAGAATGTAAATTGTAAGGTGAGAGCCTTAGTAACAGTTGGCAGGGATTTTGTCTCTTTATTAATTGTGCAGAGAAAATACATTGTATGACAAAGCCTGAAAATACTGTATAGAAGGCTTCACTAGTTTTGACAAGATATAGTAATGATCCCATCATCTGCCTTCTTCTGGGACTGTCCTGAGATTCACTAACAAAAACTTAGGAACAAATATGTTCTCATATTATTATAAGAATGCTTTATTCTTATATCATTATGTTTTGTAAGACAGAGCAATATATAAGACACATATACTAATTTATTCCTTGGGGTTTCTTTCTGACTCTGCTCACTTGGAAAATCTTGCAGTCACATGATCTCATCGGTAAAGCACCCAGAAGCCTCCATCTTGACCTTGGCTAATCTGGCAGACCTTTTTACCCAAGAAACTGAAGAACTTGAGTGAAGTACATTTGATGCAATCCACAAGCTGCAATGTATTCAAATTATTTCATAGCTTGTAAAGCAAAGTTACAAGTAAAAAAATAAAGAAAAGTCCCAGTAGATGTCAGTAAATACTGTTTTAGTTATATGAATTTATTGCCTTTTTTATTTGTAAAGTGTCCTAGTAATTATTGAGTTCTTTTCAATAACTTGCTTCTAAACGATCTATAAAGAATTTTAATTTTACACTCCTAATAGAATCTTTATTTTTGTTCCAAAGAATCTCTCTATCTAATGAGGTGAGGGAACTAAGAGAGCGAATAAGAGAGAAAATAAAGTAGCTTAGTTTTCTATGACCCAGTGTATTCAGCCAATAGAGATCTCATTTTTGAAGGACCTTCAGTTTCTTCAACATACATTCACCAGGATATTGTTTAAGTAGGTGATGAACATATCAACTCCTGGTTGATTAGGTTATTTGATTAGTTTTAACTCCATGCATAGTAACTTTATAGTAATACAGCTCCTAACAATGTATTAATATTAGGCAATGATTTCTTTTTTCTGTATCTTGTTGCTAATGAAACACTGGACATTTTTTGACTTCTAAGATGTGTTAAGTGTAAACAGTTAACTTTAAGTAACATTAAGTTAAGATTATCTTAAAATTTACCTTTAAATTACCTAAACTGTTTTACTTCTAATCTTTAAGTTTTAATGTTTTAAGATTGACTTATCTGTAAATATTGCAATTTTTATCATTTTCTTACCATTATAACATGGAAATATGGCAGGTTGTCTTTTTTTAATCATAATTGTATTGATGTCTTAGAATTTCTTCCTTTCCCATGTTCTCATGTAACTAGACTTTTAACCACCAATATCTAAATTTGTGATAGGGTTTCTTATTTTATTACACTAGTACTTCCCTCAAGGACTAGCATTTGATCTTTAGAACAAGAGAATGGCATATTTACATAAGCAAATTATTGCAAGTGATGAAAACCAAATGTTGCTTCTTCTGTGAAGAATTAATAGACTTTGAAATCGCTAAATAAGGGGTAGCTTGTTGTATCCTAGCCATTTGATGTAATATATATATTCTCATTCTGGTTTGTTTTCTTTGAGCCTTTCTTAAGTGACCCTCAGGATTCATTAGCATCTTCTCAGCTGTCCAGAAAACTGTAATAGAGGTATTCCCAGGATCACATTTGTCCAAGGGACTCTGGTGCTTAGTTAAGGTGCATTTTCTTATTCTAGGTTTATAGGGTGACATAATTCAACTGAGGAAAACACACACACATTTTTGGTGCTTATTGTTCAGTTGAAGGGACATTCATTGATTCTTTTATATGAAATTAAACAGAACTATTATTTTTGTAGCTCTTTACACACTATAAAGAGCTTTCCTATACATTCATGTGTTTAATTTGCCCAAGAATCTGTGAAATTGAATTGACATCATTCCTGTTTTGAAGGCAGAGAACTAAGAGAACTATTGAGAACTGTGCCTCTGGCACAGTGCAGCTAAACAGTGGAGCCCCCATCTCCTGACTCCAAATCTCATGTTCTTTCTCTAAATTATATGTAACACTGAGATTCAGAAGGCCCATGGTTAAATTTACTGACGACCATATTTCAGTATTACTGTTTATTGTTTATTTCCTAGTATTCTTTTTTGAGATAAAGTTTTAGGAAAAACAATTTGATAATGCTTCAATTTTGTAAAAAAAAATATATATATATATATATATAGACACACACACATACCTGTATTAGAGAAAAAAGACTGCTCTTATTTATTTCTGTAAAATATCATCAATTAAATAAATATTCTAGTGGAAATTGAAATTTGGGGATTTATTTAATTTCTGAATACTATAGACATATGGTATGGCTTTTGGTTTTTGTTTGTTCACTTTGATCTCTCAACAAAAGATGTCAAATATACTGCAAAATCCCATATGTTACAGGTATTTGTTACTTCTTCAAAACAGTTGTGACAGTTCTTCCAAATAATTGTTCAAAATAAGTGCAGATGCAATCCCTACACATTCTTACTTATAAACAAAGGACTTTTCTGTTTCCTTCTTTCATCATTTCATATTCTGTGAAATATCACCACTCTGCTTATAAATAGTTGTTCTTAAGCAGTGCTGTACTAATGAACCAGTAAGAAAAAGTGAGGTAGTCCAATTCTTAGAGATTTTAAATGTGTTTAGACCTTGGGAAGCATTCTCTGTTAAAAGGGATCCAGGTGAGGTTACTAGGACTTGAAAGGACTTAACTTCTGTACAATGTAAAATACATACACTTAATTCTGTAATCTTTTGCTTTAAACACAAATAACTTTGCTATGTTTATTGCAGCTTCAACGTTCCTCTTTCTGTGTAATGTCAGCAGAATGATCCTGCATTTGGTTTTGGGGATTCATCCCTTTCCTATCACTAGCAAACTAAAAAACTCTTCCTATCAATAGCAAACTAAAAAACTTTTGTCACGATAATTCAGCACATAACCACAAATAATTAATTACCAAACCCAACAGTACTTAACATATTTAGGAACTGAATTCAGCAATACAAGACCCATCATCAACTTAAGCTACCCTTTCAGTTGGACAAAGGAAGAAATTACCTCTTTTAAATCTTCTCCTGCTCTCATTTGCTAACTCTCCCAAGATTTAGCATGTTTGAGTTCTTTATGTTTATTAAATTACAGAATGACCTTTGAGAAATGCAGAAATTTCCTATGCTAAATGATCTCAGGCCTGGTCAAATAAAAAATATCTTTCACTTTTCTAGAATTTAAACAAAAACTGACAATAATACACCATTTCATAATGTTTAACTAGCATATCAGTATAAGAATGAAATGTCATTTAAACAGTACAGTACAAGTAATGCATTTTAACCTTGTCTACTCTGATAAAGGAAATCTTCAGTAATTCCTCAATGATCGATTAACTCCGTATTTTATAAAATTTTATAAAATGCGTAAGAATCTCTATGTACTTATGCTATGAAGCCCACATGAATGCTATCACATGTCAGTGTTAAATATGAACTGCTTTCAAGCTTTCCTTCAGAAAAGGACTGTGAGTGATTGATAACCCCAAAGGGAATTCAAGTCTCACAATAGGTAAGCAGTGATGCCTCTGAGTTACAGACAGAATATAGCACTAGTAAAAAAAAAAAAAAATTGCACTAGCATTTAGCAGGAACCAAAGTTTCCTCCTCTAGCTTACCCTTGCCTTCAGTCAGATTTTTCAGGGACACATTATCTTGTCTTTGAAGGTCCCACACCATCACTTGGATCCTATTGCATTGTTTAATACCTATATCAGTAACTTTCAAGAAATTTTGTTCATTGAAACTGACTTTGCTATCCTGGAAGCAAGTCCTTTCTACTGCAGCTTATGCTCTTTTTCTTATAAAATAGAAATAAAATTTAATTACTGTATATTGTTATCTGTATATTGATCCTTCATACAGGTGATGTATTATTTAATTGCTCAGTAACTTTCTGAACAGTTAATATAATCCATTGGGAAATAATGCATCCCTTCAGCCTTTTCTTAAAGGTCTCCCTGTACAAACGCTTTTGTCTCCTAGATGCCTGCTCTTAGGCTCCATACCTCTGATAGAGCCTCTTCAAGGAACTGTTTTGTCCAAGGACATATTTTCGACATGGGGAATCTTTTCAGATCCGTAATGTGTATACCATACAGTTCTGATTACTGATCCCTCCAATGCTTTAAGGAGCAAACATTTGTACCTGAATTTCCTTAGAAATCTAGTTTCTCCTCACTTCATTAATTATTTGGGGTGTATCTCCTAGATTACCTGTGTTATTTTCTTTCAAGACCATTTAGTTTATATTTACTACATCCATGCTGATTCAGAACTATGAAGACATCCTGTCCCTCATCTGTTTTTCAGCTCCCTGTAATTAAATGAGTGCCATATCCTATATTTTCTGTTGTCACCGAATGATGTCTTCTTTGGTAAATACAATCCTGTGTTTTACAAAGGAATATGTTTCAGTGCCTGGTGTTGCTTTATTTTATTAGAATGGTTATAAATGATTAGCTATTAAACTATTCAGCATCATTATGGAATGGTGTAGTTACTTCAAACTTCCCCAATGCTTTTCACTTTCTAAGTCCCTAGTTGATAACCATGTTACTCCTCATATTCTGCAGGTTACCATTTGTACTCTGTATTTACATTCAACTTCCCAGTGGATTGCCTACCAACATAATATGGTATAAATAAAAACCTAGCACGTCTGTCTGCCAACTGAGTTATTGGTGATGAGTCAGCTAAGCAGACATCTAACTTATGTAGTGAGTTTTTAAGGGATGATTACCCTTACACTTATTTTTTTTCTCTGCATACAGCAAAAGATTAGCTTGAAATGGCATTTGTCTTCCAAGCATTAAGGTAAAGATCTCAACTGAGTTAAACATTTTTTAATTCTTTTTCCTTCCTTCCTATATGTTCTTGCCTTCTCGGTTTTGAAATTCTATGTCTAGGTAGTAGAAGCAGTTTATCCACCGTTACGTAAAAGGCTACTTATCAGACCTCTACCCAAGCACTTCTACCTGGAGTCAGTGGACCCCTGGGGGAAGGCAGTCCTCAGTTGAGTATCAAAGGGTAAACCCCTCTGAACTGTGTAGTCTTCAGCTCCCTGGAGGGTCTGCTCTGTCTATAGTGGCCCAAACTAGCGAAGGTATAATCCATTTAAACGAGCTTTCTTTAGGGTCCTCAGTAATTTTGATACATGTAAAAGTCCTGAGACCAAAAAGTTTGAGAACAACAGTAGCCTGTTTTTAAATTACCTTCAATGTCTCCTCATGGACAATTAAGGAAATAGGCAAAATTTTTCTAGCTATGCTTGTAGTAAGTTGCTGTATGCACGTTTTTATTGATCATTGTCAAAGGCCTACTGTAGAAAGAAATCTCACACAGTAGCTAGTTAATGGACTTTGTACAAGGAATTCCATTTAATTTTGCATCTTACACTTTGTTTAAAAAATTATTTGAATGGTTGAAGTTCATATAGCTGCTGACTTTTAAACCAAATGCTTTTCCATATGAATGTAAAATAGTGATAAT